ACAATCTGTGTCCTCATTTACCCATTCATACAGCACTCTACTAGATTGTAAAAAAAAATAAAAATCTGTATGACTTTTTATAACTGTTTATTGTTGTCACTGTTGTCCATTGTTGTCATCATTCTTTGTTGAAATCAGGTCTCTCTTGTAAATGAGTCCTCGAGGCTCAATGGGATTTACCTGTGTAAATAAAAGTTGAATTAAAAAAAATAAAAAGACTATATGATGTTTAAAAAAAAGAAAAAAAAATCGAAGCAGTTTTAGGATTAAAATTATCACGACATGTTTGATTCGGGGGGTTATAATTCCCTGCCCCCCACGAGACTTTTCCAAGAACCTTCTGACCTGGTTTTCCAGTCTGCGCACAGGAATTGTCCGACGGTCCCTAAAGCACAAAACGGCCTCTATTGTTCCGGTGTGGGCTGCCCGGCGCACGCGCAGTACCGCCAGTGGCCGCAGGGGGCGCTGCGCGCATGGCAGGCCGGGCTCCGCGGCCTTCACGTCTTTTTGTCTGAGAACTGGATCCCTCTGCCGCTCCACAGTGTGCGCGATAGCCTCGGAGCTGCGTCCGTACCACACTGTCAAACCACTCCAAACGAGCCCAGCCGCGACCTAAAGCAGTAATTCAACACTGTCGGCCATGGCGCTGCTAACCCACCGGTGAATCGCTCGTTTGGGACTGCTCGCTGGAACTTCGTCCGGGGCTTGTGTCGGTTTGCATCAGTCTTTATTAGCGAGCTGCCGCTCTCCTTGCTACCAGCTATTTCTTTAACTTTTTAAACACTCGGCTCGGCGGATGACTGAGCGCCGGCGGAGTATGGGCTCCTTGGCGTCTTAGGAAGCGACTGAAGTGGGCTTTAACCGTGTTCGCATGCACAAACGATGGCAAGTTCGACGGGGAAAAATGTACCAGATCAGCGGAGGAAAGGACAGGCTTTCCTGGACGAGCTGCGGCAATTCCACCAAAGCAGAGGGTGAGCTCGGGGCGTCTTTCCCACCCGAGGAATCGAACTTTAAAAATGAATTGCACGAGCGTGCGACTTGGCCAAAGTGTTATTTGAACATGTGTGCTTTTATTCCGTGCGTTCTCCCGACAGGTCGCCGTTCAAGAAGATTCCTATCGTGGGTGGGAAAGAGCTGGACCTGAACGCTCTCTATGTCAGAGTCGTCTCTTTAGGTGGATTTGCTAAGGTGAGTGGGAACTAAAGTGGGGTTTGTCCACGCTCCGTGGACTCCCCGCCGGAACAACTCCGCGTTGATAACCCGGGACAAGTGGAAGCCGTGCGGTTTTCGTGGCTCGGTGTTGGCCTTGTGCTATCAGTGTTTGTTGTGCGGGGTTTTGAATCGGAAGAGTCGCGGAGTCGGTTGGAGCGGCTCAAAATTAGCGGGCACGGTCGCCATCGATTTGGAGCCCCGGCTTCGAGGGGGGGCAGCGCGGCGCGGGACCCGGCGCGCAGCTCGCGCTCTCACCGACGGTTCGAACCCGGGGAGGGGAGCGTAAAACCTCCTTCTCGCCATGGCCATCTTTCTTCGGCTTCGTGGTTGGGCACCGAGTGTAGGCCTCACAGGCCCCGTGTGTGCGGAGCGCTCCGTGCCGACGCCGAACTGCTCGTGAGCTCAACTGGTCGGCGCGAGCTGCTCGTATCCGTGGGCAACGGTCGGCTGGAGTTTGTCCTCGTGCGGGTTTTAACGCTCGAACGGAAACGAGCCCAGTTAGCTTCGCGGCTAACTAGCTTAAACTGTAACAATACTGTCCTGCCGTGGCGGTTTAGCTCCTACTAATGTGTCAAGTTTGAAACACTTGGAGCCAGTTTACAACTCCGAGGCTGTTAGGCGCCGCGTGTAAACGTTTGTGCCGCGTCTCTGTAGGTTTTTGAATCTTTCCCCGCTGTTCCAAAGTTATCGATAAGAGGTTGGGGTGACCTAGCAAAGCCGTAACCCCTTGTTTTGTTGTTGCCGGTGTTTGCTAACTGCCTCCTTTCCTTTACAGGTTTCTGACAAAAACCAATGGGCTGAACTTGGAGAGGAGTTCCACTTTCCCAAGAGTTGTTCCAACGCGGCATTCGCTTTAAAGCAGTACTACCTGCGGTAAGTAGCTGTGTGCTCTGCTCCTCAGGTAGCATGTGGGAAGTGTTTACAAATAAGATGCAGGACGTAGGCTCCCCTCTGCTCGAAGCTGCACCGCTGAACTACTGCTCCGCATAAAAAACACCATCCCGGAGCTTTTTACAACATGTTTGGGGATGTAGCTTCGCCTGTAGCCCGAGGCTGCCTTGCTGATCAGCTCTGACTGCTATCACATGCAGGCTGCACAGTTAAGACAGCTGCCAGTGTGGAGTTTGTTGTAAAGCCCCCCCCACCCCAACCAGTTCAGCAGCTGGCATTTGTGGTTTTTGGTGCTGCTGGTTCCTCTGCTCTGCTTTCTCAATTGGTGCAACGATTGTTCCTGCTGTTACACCTGTCTTCCAGAGATTGCACCTGTGCAGAGATGTGCTCGTGTTCATTCAGTTACTTTGCAGGCAACTGGTTGATGGACGAAAAGGCCCATTTACTATGCACACTATGTCAACAAGTGGGGGCAAAACGGGATTGTTTTGCTCCCAACTTTACACAGCTGATGAGACTTGGAGCTCCTCTGATTAACCGTCAGCGTTGGCTGCACATCCTGAAGTTGGTTGAGGTCTGTGAGGGTACCGATGCATCACCATAGAAGCTCTGGTGTTCTGGTTTCACCGTACATTTTAATTTCTCGTTCCACAGTTCGGTTGAGAACACGCTGCTGTTTTTTAGTAGTTAAAATTGTCTGCATTACTCGTATACAGCTGAAGCAGCAGTCAGAGTTGACACGTATAGTTGAACTTTGCATGACTCGACTGGCATTTTGATCACTTTTATGAATTTGACACAATTGCAGAGTCTGTGGATGCTCAACTTTTGAGCCGTCTGAACTTTTCAAAATGGTTGCAAACACCTTGGAGCGGCTGTGGCCGAGTGGTTGGAGCCTCAGTGTCCCTGGGCAAGACACTGAACCCCGATGTGTGTCCCATCGGTGTATGAATGTCAAAAAGCTCTGATTAGTCTCTTATAGAAATATTTATTCAATTAGCTTTCTATAGATCTAGTAGAGTGCTGAACGAATGGGTAAATAAGACACAGATTGTGTTGTAAAGAGCTTTGAGTGTCTTGATAAGATAGAAAGGTGCTATATAAGTATAGTCCATTTACCATTTATTCCCTCAAATTATACACTTTAGACATTAAATTATACTAAACCAATTTATTTATAGAGCACTTAAAACAGCAACAAGGCCAACCAAAGTGCTGTAGAATAGAAGCAAACAAGCACAGCGGACATGCACTTTTCTTTTATCTGTCACTGCTGTAGGACTCGCAGTTTTCTCTTAAGCCCTCTTCAGAGTCCACACCAAAACTCCCATTGTGTCTAAGCTTTAAACTTTCTCTTCAAAACTGGAAGTGAAGGGGTTTTTGTCGACCCTTCAGACACGTAATGTCATTTTACCTTGTTGGATCATTACAAAAGTACGTCTAATTATTGTTGGGCTTTAGAGAAAGTTGGTGGATTGTGGTGCCGCCGATATTTCTTGTTTGGTGCTTCAGATGACTGACAGCCAAATGTGTTTAGCTTCTGTGACCCGATTGTTCTGAAAAGGTCACATAAACATTAATAATGGTTTAACGAGCACAGCTTAGTGTTTTCTGCTCCAGATGGAGAAACAAGTGCCAAACTCGGCAGCTGTATCTTGACCTTTTGCTCTAAATATGCATCAAATTAGTAGAAGTTTAATCTGCGTTGCTCAACAAAGTTGCTATAATTCTCTCTCAAAACTTAACAGCTGAGTGGACGGACATGCTGGAAATCACCCGTGTGTCCTGTTGGACTTCATCTGCGGCAGCTCTGTAAGGATGTCGCTCGACTTGTGCCTAGACTGAAGCTGATGATATGGAAGTTGCACGTGTTGCAGAGGATCGCTGTAAAAAAAAAAAAAAAAGTGACTGAATACCGTATTTTTCGGACTATAAGGCACACTTAAAATCCTTTAATTCTCTCAAAAATCAACAGTGAGCCTTATCAGGTGCACCTTATGTATTCGTTGTGGTTGTGCTTACTGGCCTGGAACTGATTTTATGTGGTACACAGCGCTCAAAAAATCTGTCCAAACGTTTTCGTTTCGCTTAATGCACCTTGTAGTCTGAAAAATACGTTTTTAGAATCAGTGTTGAGGAAAGCTCCGTGAGTGAGGCAGGCTATTTGTTGTTCTCAGCGGAGCTGGGTTTGATGCAGCGTGTCACTCCAGGACACCTGAGCTGGGTGGATGTTTGCTAACATCAAGTTAACCCTGATTATCTAGTTGAATGGCCACCTATGAGCACCGTTAAAGCAGCTACAGTAGCAAACGTTTGTGTTTCCAAGTAGACGTGCAGTTTAAATGAGGCACGCCGTCTTTGCCGGAATGACACTTGGGACCATCTGTGGACCAAGTTCTGTGCTCCTGATGAAAGGTGGATCACGGTGTGGCGCTCCTCGGGTCATCACTTCCCACTCAAGTGCACAGTAATGAAGTTCTGTGCCAAACCTCCCGCTGCCGACCATTTGATATCTGACTGCTGCTCTGTAAAAGGCGCTCCCCGCTAGAAACATTTTTCCAGCTCGTTTTCCACTCCGGAGCTGTAACGTCCGTCCGTACCAGCAGCACGGCTATTGTTTCATCTGTGGGGGGGGG